TCCCCATCTGTAAACATAATAATAGCACAACTCACCCTGCTTGGGGCTTTTGAATCTTGTTTAGCATAAAACAGCTCACTATGGGAGAGCTCAACAATTGATAGTTCCTCAGACTGGGCCCAGACTGCAGATGGGAAGCACCACACTCAGCCAGGGCCCATTATACTCAGAAGCCACAGAGTGGAACAGAAGTCCCTTATGTGCCCCTCTCCTCTGGTAGCCCTGTGACTGTATCCCAGGTTCTGTGAGAGCATCCCACTTCCCTTCAGGAAGACCCCAAATATCCCTCAGTGATCCCTCAGCTTTTCCTGGTCCAGAATTCTTCCTAACCTCTGATTCACTTCCTTACACCCAGAACTGCAACATTTTCTCTTCTGCTCTCCAAGAGACTTACTCTTCACGAAGCCTTATAGATTGCACCTCCTAAAAGCATGGGGCTCTAGAATGAGTCAAGTCTGAATGCTGTCCTGATTTTTATAATTGGTGTAACCTAGGGCAAATGTGGGCATCTCTCAAATCATGTCTCAGCCAATTATTCACTGTGTGAACTTAACCTCCCTGAACCTGTTTTCTCATCTATAAAATGAGGATAAAACTAGTACTTAAGTCTCAGGATTGTTGTAAGGATTAAATGAGGGACACAGGTAGTCCTGGCCATGTGACTCGGTTGGAGCATTGTCTCATACACCAACAGGTTGTGGTTTTGATTCCCAGTCAGGGTGGGTACAAAAAGCAACCAATAGATGTTTCTCACATGGATGTTTCTCTCTTCCTTCCTCTTTCTCTAAAAATCATCAACAAAAGGGGACATATGTAATACTTGCAACATAAAGATTTAAAAAATAAAAATACAGGGAGCAACAATAAAAAATGCACCATGTCTAAAATTAATAATAAAATAAAAATCATCAATAAAAATTGAGGAATGCAGGTAAAGTGCCTCACGCTTAGAAGGTGTTACAGATGATCTGTGATTTTTGGTAAGGTTTTTTGAAAAAACAAAAACAAAAACAAAAACAGAAACAACAACAACAACAACAAAAAAAAACCCAAAACCTCAGTCTCCCTAATTGTAGCTATATCTCAGGATTGTTATTTTAAGTGAGTTAATCCATGTAAGGTTCCTAGCCATGCACCCAAATCTATAGTAATAATTCAATAATTATCAGTTGTTATAACTCCTAACCACCATATTGCCTAGCCTTCTCTGGACAGGAAAAGCCCATTCATCTACCTCAGTGGATATTATCACCTTCTACCCACCCACCTCTAACTTTGCCTATGTGGTTATCCAGTGAGCATTTTTTCCTCTATCCTCCCAGTCCTCTTCTGTAAATTGGTAGCACAAGTTCACTGTTCTGTCCTGTCAGAGGCCTGGAGTTAGTTATTGTGTTTTGGTTTTACACTATAGCTTGAAAGGCTTGTAGCAACCTCTATGCAAAACGCATACCCATGTACAAAAACCTTGCTAACTCTTATTTTTCTCATTCTTAAATGGGCATAATAACTGTGCCTATCTTCTAGGATTGTTGTGATTACAGTACCATAGAGGAACCATAGCTGTAACATGAGTAGCAAGTGCCTTGCAAAGAGTATTGTGGCTACTACTTACTAAGCCAAGCTTTTGTGTTTGGGTTTGTGTACTTGCCTAGAGGTTGCCACAAGCCTTCGCAGCTGGGAATAAACACAAAACACAGTAACAAACAGGTCAAGAGAGTGAATTCAGGCCATCTAACAACCTTGTTTGGGAATAAGATTGGCAAACATTTTACAATAGGGGTCTGGGGTGGAAGGGAGACAAACTGCCCACTAGACAATCACACAGGCACAATTAGGGACAGGAATGAAAGGTGGGAGTTGGTAACACCCACTGGGATAGGTGAGGGGGTTTTCTTTGCCCAGAGACAAAGGGACAAAGGAGAATAGGCAACATTTAATGAGTATGTGCAGTGCATGCTTGCGTGTGTGTGTGTGTGTGTGTGTGTGTGTGTGTGATATGATAAGAGATTACAGAGCTGGTTGTGAGAGCAGAGAGTTGACCTTGACACCTGACCTGAGGGGAGTGGGCCCATGGATAGAGCCAGCATTGCGGCAGATATGGGATTTGAAGCCAGGTGCTTCTCCTCCAAAGCCCATGCTCTTAATCAGTATAATATTAATGCTTGGCACAGAATAGGTGCCCAATAAATATTTGTTTAATGAAAGAATCATATTGTTGCCTCTTTATGGAAAGTTTTTTACCTCCATCTCTAGCTGGGCCCAGCTCAAATGCAGCCTCATGTTCAACCAATGTACCCTCTCTCTCTGTTACTATGGGGTGCAGGAAACAGGAGGCATCTGTGCTGGGGTCTGAAGTATGGAACACTAGGATGGATTAGTAGGATGGACCTGGAAGAAAGACTCTGGGTTTTGCACAGATATTTTTCCTTCTGAGTTTGTACACTGGTCTTGAAGTTATTATAAGGACTGGATATACCCAGCACAAAGTAACTCACACTGGGCTCTGATTAGTCAGAACAGTAAATTCCAATTACTTAGCAACCATGTGTACAGAGGACTGAAGTAATTTTTGAGCTATGAAATGCTGGGAGCTTAGAACCCAAAACAAGGATTTTAAATGGAACACTGAACATGTTAAAGCACTAATCCCCATTAGACTTCAGATCAATTATATTTTAACCCTTGGGACAGTGGATTCCAAGTAGCCTTCCCACAATCCAGGAATCCCTGGCTGGTGCCTTACAGAAGGGAATGGAGAGGCTTTGTTTACAAGAGAGAGGACACCATGATGGGAATTCTATGCCTCCCCTCCCCCTGGATTGTGGCTTCCATGAGAACAGCTCCAGCTCTATTTGGTTTGTATATGGAATATCTATATTCAATTCAAAGGAAGAGTGTTCCTGCTAAAGCACAAAAAATAAGTTTTGAAACCTCTGTCCCAAGAAGCCATATTTTGCCTCTATTTTGTGTTTTGTTTTGTTTTATTTTGTTTGTTTGTTTGTTTGTTTGTTTATGAGGAGCAAACATTGCAAATATGTTGTGACTGATAAACCATCAAATGGTGTCAGGGAGATCAGGTGTAGAGGACTGACAAATCAGTCATTAGTTGAGTAAACCAGTCATTAGCTATCTTGAGCCTACAAAGCTTATTTCTGTTATAAAATTAATAAAACCACTGCTACAACTATGATTACTATGACTGCAACCACTTATTGAGTGTTTTTATTATGTGCCGAGAGCTGTGCTAAGTACTTTACATATATTATTTCATTGACTCACACCAACCCTGAGAGGAAGTGTCATTATTTCCCCCATTTTACAGATGAGGAGACTGGAGCTCAGCATGGATAAGTAACTTTCCCAAGATCATACAGCTAGACATAGTAGATTCCACTTTACTTACAAGCACAAATGAAATCAACTAAAGCCATATAGCAGTCAAAGGTCAACTGCCTGACAGTAATAAGGAATAAGGTTAAATGTTGAACAATAGATGGCACCACTGTGTGAATTTGATTGCCTACTCAAGGCTGAGTCCAATTCAAGGAACTCCAGCAGGGCTCAGAACTGAAGTAGCCTGTCACAAATTGATGGAAGAGGGAAGGAAAGATGGCTAGCATTTTATTCTTGAATCAGACTGTGTTACTCTATCCTGTTTGTAGCTAAGCAAATAAATGGGAAGCCAGTAAGGGAAGGAACAGAGGAAATTCTGTCAAGAACTGCTTTAAAAGGACCTTATTGCCCCCCCCCCCCAACATTTCCTGAGTGTCTGCTTTGTGCTAGGCAGTGTGCTGTGCAATGAAGTCACGTGGAGATATTAAACACAGCCCTATCTTGTTGCGTAAGAAGTGGGAAGATGCTATAGTAAAGGAGGCACTGAATGTAATGGGGACACCCATCCTAGACTTAGAGGTCTGGAAGGATTTTCACAGGATAGATGTCTAAGCTAGTTTTATTGGTTGAATAAATTTATCAGACAGGTAAAAGTGGAAGAGCATTCCAATCATAGACTTAAAGCTATGATTGAAATAGATGTGAAAAAAAGCATGATACATTCAAGGACAGTCAGCATATCTTTCAAGTGTTGAGAGATGAGTCTGAGGAGACAGACAAGTGAAGAATAAGATACAAACTTCCAGTTATAAAATAAGTCGCAGGATATAGTGTACACCATGTGGGAAATAGTATTATAATATTGTGATAATTTTTTATGGTGTCAGATGGGCTCTAGACTTATTGTGGTGATCACATTGTAAGGTAGATAAATGTCAAATCACAATTTTGTACACCTGAAACTAATATAGTATTGTATGTCAACTGCATTTTAATTTAAAAAAATTTTAAAGAGAGATAGGCAACAACCGAATAATTGGACAGCTTGGAATATCAAGTTAAGAAATTGATTTGTGAATCTATGAGTAGAGAGGCAATAGATTTTCAAGAGGATCTGTGATTTTTTTTAAAGGAGAAGTTTTCAAATATTGGTGAGGCAATGAAGAGCCATGGTAGGCCTTTAAACAGGGGTGCAACATGATCTGACATGGTGGCCACTGTGGAGGATGAATTGCAGAGGACCACGCTGGAGCATGAAAATTATCTGATGAGTACTTGGGATAGGGGCAATGCATGAGAGCCTGAACTGTGGAAGTAAAACTGATAGGACTGAGTAGCCCCTAAGCTCTCCTCCCCATATGTACACGCTCATTTCCAAGGCTGAAATCTCTCACCCCTCTACCCCAACTCATAGTCCTATTCTCAATTTTCAAGCTATATTTTGGGGGCGTTTTTGCCCTCTTTCCATGTGTCTTTGAAGTTTAATCTAGCCTGATTTCACAAATTGACATAGAGGGCCTGGCCTGTGCTGGGGCCTCTGGACCTACATCCCCATCTGTAAACTGACCTCAGATAGAGCAAGAATTGGCCTTGAGCTGGTCTCTGACCCTGTGCCCACGGCCTCACAACATGAACAGAGTTCAGTTAAGAAATCAGCAGTTACAGGAAAAAGGCAAACATCATCTAGTTTATTTTTCTCCTGATTCATCTCATGCCAACAGAGACTGCAGTTGATAGCAGCCAAAATGAGGGTAGGTCCCCAAAGCAAGCTGATTCTCTAGATGCCCTCCTTCTTGTTGCAAGGCCCATCATAAAAGCATTTCAACTCTGCTTAAACATGGTGTTGGTATCCCTGGAGGTGAAGCCTGAAGTCAATTTTTCCACAGGGAGACAGGACTACGTGGCCACCTGAAAGGCTGGGGAGTCAAAGAGCCCTGAAGAGTGAGACTGTTGCCCTCTTCATGACCATTCTTTGTTTTGTTCTGTTTCCTGGGGGCTTCATAAAGCAGATCTTCCTTCCCCTATAGCTACTTGTACCCTCCCACTGTCAACACAACAGCAACCCAGACAATGAGATGCCAGAGACCTGTACTTACAATCCAGTTGGATATAGCCAGGGTAAGTTGGTACTTGAGGACCCAACTTTCAATCCAGAGAGCTACGCCTGGAGATTCCTGGCTAATCAATGCCCTGGAGCCTTGCCAGGCATATGAAACCCTAATCAGACTCTGGCTCAGTTTGAACAGGTAAGGGATGGGGAAAGAGGATGACTTGTGACTCTGTGTGGTGCTGTCCCTAGTATCCTCACACACATTTATGGCCCCTTTTTATTTGCCTCCTTTTCCTCCTTTTTCTTCTTAGTCCTCCTCCTCTTCTTCATCGTCCTCCTCATCCTCTTCACTGTCTGAGTCTTCATACAGATTGATAGTCGCCTGGACAGGAAAGTTCTGCAGTAAAATCTCCCCATAACTGTACAGGTAGTCGAAGGAGCGGGATTTAGGCCAGAAGAGCCTGTGGACAGAGAAAAAGCATGGCCCCTACCTTAGACAGGTCTCTTATGTACAGAGGGGTCAGTAGGACCATAGAGGAAGCCAGACCCTAAAATTTTTGTCCTACCCACAATAATGGTGTGAGACAGAAAGGAAAAAAGAGAGCTATGTAACAGAATTTTCTGAATTGTTGCAAAATGGCTCCAGGCAGAAAGGTAACATCTGGTGGGCCTATAACTTTGGGGATCTGCAACCCCAGCATCTATCAATTCTGACACTGATTTCACCCTCACCTCAGAAGGTCTCTACCCCAAAATTATGTAGATTTCTCCTGTGTCCACCATCTCCTACTAAGGTTCTTTCACTGATCTATCCATAAAGTCTCATTCTTAGGAATCATTGACAATGCCTCTAGGGAAGGCAACCTTGGCAAAGTTCCTAACTTCTCTGGGCTTCAGTTTTCTGGTTTATGAAATAGTGATCATAGCAGTGCCTCCCTCCTCCTGATACACAAGGCTGTTGTGAGGGTTTGAAGAGCTAATAAACCTATGTAAAGTTATAAGCTTGGTGCCAGGAGCTTACCTGACAGGATGATGGAACTTGGAGTCAGCTTTGGTGACCTCAGCACTTGTTGCCCCATCAGTGGCCTGTTCAAAGCAAAAGCTAGCATGTGGCTCAAAGTACATGCAAGATAACTGCCTCCTCTTTATCAGGGGTCAGAAACCTTTAGGTAAGATGATCTAGAAAGAGACCTTAGACATCTCTGGGGTCCAGCTCTTGCCCCACTCCCACCAAAGGGGTCTGTCCTGGCTTTGCTTGAAAAACTAGTGGAAAGAATCCTGGGGCTTGTTAACTTTCCTCTCCCTGTTCTAACACATGTTTGGAGATTGCCCAGGGGACAGAGTTCTACTGGAACAGCAAAGATTTGGGGTGAGGAGTGGGGGAAGAGCACTGGGGTTAAGTGCCAGGAAACCAGGATTCTAGCAGCAGTTCTACCATAGCCTAACTTTGGAGTCTGTTCATACCCTCCCCTATTTTGGGCCTCAGTCTCTTTATCTTTAAATTACACAGAAATCTCAGGTCAGCCTTCCTTCTAGAGCTGTTGTGAGAATCAAATGTGAGCAAGGCTGCAAAGATGGTTTCCCAGATATGCAGACCTGGACTGAGATCAGGGGCTCTCTGGGAAGGGACCTGGTCAGTGTGAATGCAAGTGGCTACATGCAAACATGTGTAACAGGGGCTCAAACTTACCAAATCCACAAGTTTCCTCACCTGCCTTGGAGGATCATTTGTAGAGTACAGCCAGGGTCTCCAAAGACAAACCCCTCTAGGACATAGAGGAGAGATCTATCAGTGAAGGAAGGAGACTGAAAAGTAGGCTCCCTGAGATAACAAAAAGGCCTCCAAAAACACTTGACTTGGATGCCATCTATTTCAGGAAGCCTTTCCTAAGGAACTTGAGCCCACATCAGGACAGATCCCTTCTTCTCTGCTTCAACAATGTTATCATTACTCTTATCACAGTTTTGTAATTGTTTACTTGCCTTTGAGCTTCTTAAGGGTAGATTTATGTTTGATCATATCTGGTTCCCCAGCAGCTATCACAGTGCCTGGTACACAGTAGGCATTTCAGTAAATATTTGTTGAATTTCTTAAATATTTGGAGGAATGAATGAGGGTTGGGTGGAGAATATCTTACCTCCTGCTCCAAGAAGCAGAGGTCAGAGTCCTCCCACCTTCCTGGGATGGGGAAAGGGGCCAGAAATATTCCTGGGCCAACTGCTTCCCCAGTAGACTTCCATAAGTAGGGGGAAAGCAAATAGAAATCTTATAGTGTGGTCAGGAAATAGACACTCCCCCAGTCAAAGACTTCTTGGTACTTTGGCCCTCTTTCCCTTCATCTGCAGCCTAAGTCATGTTAAACCCAGGTTTCATAGCATTCTCCTGTGTGCCTCTCAGTTGACTGAGCAACTTTACCCATGAGGGCCTGGCTGCTCAGCTTTCAGCTTTGGCAATGGCCACTGTCCCCAAGTCCCCTCCTGTCATCCAGAAGGATTAGTGAGGCGAAAAGTCAGTTGAGATATTCCAGCCAAGATGTGGAGGGGATGGTTTCTGAGCGTTATGAGGCTTTAGCCTTTTTTTGTTCTTCACAGAGCACAGGGCCACCTTTTTCCCCCAGGAAACCCACTAAAGTCAAAGTTCAGGTTGCCAAAGGCCAAGTTCCACTTACCTTTTACTCCCATCTACTTCTTGTCCAGAGAAAGGAAGGAGTGATGGGCTTAACAAGGCAGGGAGTGCCAGGGGAGCCTGTGCTAGAGCTGGAGCTACACTTAATGTCAGGGCTGGGACAGGGACAGCAGCAGCAGTGGGAGCAGAAGGATCCATTCTTAGGGTGTTAAGACCAGGCAGGCTGTGAGGGCTTATATTTCTCAGAACCTGCTGCACTCTTGGCCTTTCCTGGTTGACCCTTTATAAGACCTGACTGGACTCATAAATTATTCAGGGAAGTACAGAGATGGGGGACTTGAAGGGGGGGGGGTGAAGATTTAAGAAAGGCACTGAAGGAGGGAGAACTGGGTTACTGGGTGTGAAATCTCTCCCAGTTGAATAAACAGAGTCAGTGGGGGAAGGGGGGGTGAGAGGCTACTTTACCTCCAAGTCAGAAAGAAAAACACAGAAGGGGAAAATCACACACCATTTGTGTGAATACCCCAGGCAGCAGCAAAGCCGGAGGGGGGAAAGGTGGGAAGCTCATTAGTATCTGAAACCACAGAAAGTTGTCAGGCACAGAGGGCTGGACAGACAGGTCTTTAGCACAGCTTGTTCCCAACAAGAAGGACAATTGACTGGCTAAGGAGAGTGGGGAAGTCACCCGTTATTTCAGCTCAAACTCCAAATATATTTGCCAGGTGCATCTGATACAGGGTGGCTGCCACTAAGCATACCACCTGGATTAGGAAAGACAGAGGTTCTGGGTAGAGCAGGTATAGTTGCCCTTGGGCTAAACCTCAAATTTCCTGCCATGCCCTCCTTTTTACTTGTTAGCTCTTTTGCAAAAGTGTCAGAATCCCCTTTCCAGCCTCAGCAGTAAGTGGTTCTGTAAAGGAATGCAGGCAGCATTGTCAGGACTTCCAGGTCAGATTCCAAATTTTACAGTTCAGAAGCCAGGATTCTGGGAGAGGCAGAGTTTTGCCCAGCTACTAAGCTGCCAAAGGACTATCCCTGGTTCCATGGCTTTCACTTCCCTCACATGTAAGAGGAAGGTGTGAGCCCAGTGGTCCCAAAAGGCCCTGCAGCCTGAACACTCTGTGACAGGGGCTGGGTAAATGTGTACTGACCCCAGGCAAGCCTAGAGGCTCAAGCACAGCCCTTGGCCTTCGCCAGTCTTCTGAGCTTTAGACAAAAAGCTTCCAGTTACAACTACTGGCAGGTTCCTTGTGCTTTGGAAGTCCAAAAATATTCTTCCTGACCTCAGTGTCCAGTGCACCATAACGAATTTAGCTTCTTGGATATTCATTACAGTCAGGTTTGTAATGGTGAAAAATTAGAAACAACCTCAAATGTCCAATAATAGGAAACTGGTTAGATTAATTAGAGTAAGTCCTTGCAACTGAATACTAAGCAGGCACTCACAATCATGTTCTAGGAAGTATAATTATCCACAGAGAAAGTGAAAAAAATCAGGTGCTAAAATAGGATAAATTATATGACTGGAGGGCTCCTCTTTTCTCTGTTCACCTCCTTCCATCCCCCCACCTCTACCTCACTTCAAATTTCAGCCCCACTGTGTTCTTTACAAAAAAGGAAAATTGGAAACAACCTAAATGTCTCATTTTAGAAAGTTGTTTAAATAAATCATTGAACAGTTATACAATTTTGTATTAAAATTGACTTGGTAGAAGATTGGGGAAATGTCAATGTATTGAAGAAAGAAAAGAAGAAGCCTCTACAATATTACTCATAGTAGGATCACATTTTGGTAAGGAAAAAGTGTAGAATATACAGAGTTCAGGGGGGAAAAAAAACTGGTTAAAAGAAAGAAGAATGTAATAGTGGTTGGTTTTGGGAGTAAGATGTGGTAAATCTTTACTTCCTTCTCTATGCTTTTCTGAATTTTCTAAAAAGTTCCATAAGACCTAATATTATTTGGGCAGTAATAAGTAATGACATAAAAATAAAAAGAAAGGAATTCTTGGAAAAATATCAGCCATTTTTAAATATCTGAGGTTAGACTGCAATGGGGTTATACTTGTTCTGTGTGACTTCAAAGGATAGGTTGAAGGCCCAGGGTGGAAGCTACAGGGAGACACATTTTTGGCTCAATCAAAGGAAAACTGTCTAACAGCCCAGCCACCACCTAACCCAAGGGCCTGGCACTGTGCCGACCTTTAATAAACAGAGGTTTATTATATGTGGTGAAATGGAGTAAGCTCTCTGTCCCTGAACTGTGTAAGTGCAGACCAGATCCTGGATTCTAGAGAGGAAAATCTTTGGGCAGAAAATGAAGGCTGTTGGGGAGCCCAAGGTTCTATCAATCTCTGAGGGTTATTGCTAAATTTACCTGCAGAAGATGAGAATTTGCTTAAACTGCATCACTGATTCAAATGAGGAAGGAGGCTGAGAAAGGAAGCCAGATTGAAAAGATTGGGCTAGAAGGAGATGACAAGTGAGGGTGTAAGGAATGGAACTACTGACATACCCTGGGAACTTTTTTATCTCTAGGTGGCCTTCGTCTCTGAAAATAGGCAGGAGGGAAGAAGGAAAAGGGGCACAGGTAAACAATTCTCCTGATCCCAGGGCTCATTACCAATTATACATAACCATGCCAGCTCCCACTTTGAACTTGTGCTCATTCAGCCACAATCCTTTACGATTGGGGCTGTCCAGACCCTTTACTCCTCTGAGCAGCAGGTCTCAGGATTCCCCCCACAACAGCTCTCTGCATGCTTTCCTGGAGTCCCCTTAGCCTTCAGGCCTGTCTCCATGGTTCTTTGTTCCCCCTACACAACTGATCTGTCTTGCTACTTTCTAAGAATTTTCTCAGCCACATTCAGCTTGTGGGAGATAAAGCCGCTGGATGCTTTTATTGGCCTCTCCCCAGCCTAAAGAATTTAAGGCCTGCAAATGTTGCTGAGCATAAGTGGGAGCCCCACCCCTCTCTTACATGGAACAGCCTCTCCTCCCACTTCCCTGAGAAAACAGAGGCCTTCAAGCATTAATTACCTCAGTGCTCTGCCCCACCCCCTAAAAATTGATATGCCTTTCCAATTTCCTTCCACTCCAACCCTCCCTTCTCAGGGGACAAGGTATCCCTCTTCCCTCTTAGAGCCTTATCCCTTCCCCATAAGCCTTGACATTATCCACCCTCTTTCTCTGGACCCTTCCTTCAGACATGCTCCTCCTCTTCAGAAAAAAAGTTTAGTTTTTCTTCTGATTATAAAAATACCCTTTTCTGTTATCTCCCAGAGCAAGCCCCCTCCTTGCTCAGATGAGTTTGTTCTCTTGCTTGCCTAACTTGCTCTCTTTTTCTCTCTGAATAATATCTTTCTCTCTCTCCCCCTCCCATCTCTCTTTTCTTTCCTTTTCCCTCAAATTTGTTGAAAGTAGAGCCTAAATTCTAAATTGCCACTTTTCCCAACTTTCCATTCCCAGCTCAAACTACTGCAATTTGGCCCCAGCCCCATCCTCCTAGTGTAAGGGCACTATCAAAGGTCACCAATGACCTCCTAATTGCCAAATTCAATGATCTCTTTGAACTCTGGGTGGCAAAAGACACTATTGGCCAAGTCCTCATTTCTGAAAGTCTCCTTCCTCTCTTGGCTTCAATGATCACCCCCTCCTGGTTTTCCTCCTTCTTCTGGAACCATTCCTCTCAGTCTCTTCTGCTGACCGCTCTTTTGCCTATTCCTCAAATCTGTGGTTCTCAATTAGTCCACAAATCAGGATGA